CTCCTCCTCCTCCTCCTCCTCATCCTCATCCTCATCCTCCTCCTCTCCTCCTCCTCCTCCTCCTCCTCCTCCTTCTCCTCATCCTCATTCTCCTCCTCCTCCTCATCATCCTCATCCTCATCCTCATCCTCATCCTCATCCTCATTCTCCTCTTTCTCGTACCCTCTTGCCGCCCGGTGCTATCCGCTAACGCCGTCGCCGCCGCCGCCGCCGCCGCCGCCGCCGCCGCCGCCGCTGCCGCCGCCGCAGCCGCTGCTGCCACCGTCGCCGCCGCACACCCCCCTCCCCTGCCCGCACGCCTGCTCGCCTACCCTGACCCGGACGAGGACCAGGAGGATGGAGTAGTGGTGCGAGTGCCTGTGCCGAGCGTTAACTCGCGATACGAGCGATTCTTGGATCCGATGACCGGCGAGAGCGGGCCCAGGGCTCAGGCCGCTTCGAAGTTAACTCGTGATTAAGGGCAACTCTTCTTCTTCTTCATCTTCTTCTTCTTCTTCTTCTTTTTCATCTTCTTTCTCGAGACAAAGAGACAGTAGAAAGTGAAAGATAAAGGGCAAAGAGAAATAGAGAGAGAGAGAGTGAAGAGAGGCAGACTGCTTGTCTGTCTGTTGCTTTTCATTGTTGCCCGTCCGTTTGTTTTTTCGTACGCTCGCGTGGGGCACGACGCGCCGTCAAACACCTCGAGAAGAGGAAAGAGATTAAGAGAAATATAAGAGTGTAGGAGCGAGCGAGCAAGAGAGGGAGAACGCGCGCGGAAGAAGAGAGAGAGAGAGAGAGAGAGAGAGAGAGAGTGAGAGAGATAGAGATAGATAGATAGATAGATAGATAGATAGATAGAGAGAGAGAGAGAGAGAGAGAGAGAGAGAGAGAGAGGGAGAAGAGAGAGAAAGAAGCGCGCGTCAGCGGCAGTAAGCGAGCGTCCCGTCGCTCGCGCCCAAAAGCAGCCAAAATTCGGATCAAGAACAAGGACCCGGTGCCGTCCTACGCGATGGAGATCTTGGACGAGTACCAGGACAGCATGGGCCAGGCCGTCGCCGGCGACGTCGCCGTGGCCAATATGGCGAGTATCGCTGCCGGCATGGCCCATCATCGCCACACTCCTGACAGCCCGATGGTGAGTTCTTAATTATGCTACTATAGCTGCTACTGTTATTGTTGTTATTATCATTATTATCATTATCGTTATTGTTGCTGTTATTATTATCAATATTATTATTGTTATTAAGGCAGTTGTTCTTATTGTTATTATTATTAATATTATTATTATTATTATTGTTATTAAGGCTGTTGTTCTTATTGTTATTGGTTGTGATTGTGATAATGACGGTGGTAGTGGCGGTGGCGGTGGCGGTGGTGGTGGTAGTGGTGTGGTGTTGGTGTATTCGGGTAGTGATGGTGGTGGTTGTGATGGTTTTGGTGGTGATGATGGTAGTTATACTCTTACCGATACCATTGCTCTTGTTGCTAATTTGTCAAAATGATTGCTTCTTTATCGTTTCATCCCTCTACTCGTTACTGCCTTCGTTTCTTCCTCACCCCGCCCGTCCGCGCCGCAATTTCATCCTTTATATTCTTACCTTCCTTACGTCCTTCGGTCGCGTCGTCAACGTCCCTACGACGCTTTCGACGATTGACCCTTCTTGTTCCATTTGAAATGCCAGCTTTTTAAGCAAAAGGATTTACGCCCCTTCTCTTACTCGTTAATCTTCCTTTTAGTTGAAAGTGCGCAGGTACGGACTGTCGTTTAATCTCGAGATGGAAGGGGAATTAGGAATTATAGCTTCCTACATGAAAGTGGTGGTTGTGTGTGTGTGTGTGTGTGTGTGTGGTTGTGTGTGTGTGTTTTTTGTTTTTGTTATTCTCTTTATAATATTGACCAGAAATGTGTAAGTGATGTAAGTGACGTATTATAATTATGGAATGTGACGGTGATCGAGATATGGACGACAAACTTTCTAAATGTATATTAAATGGAGCAAATTGATCAAGGATAAATTCGATATTAGTATTCGAAGAATCGACTTTATAATAATACGCACCCAATGCCGATAAACTCGTGAGAAGTTAATTTCTAGATTGGCATATATACATTTCTGAAGCCCTAACTAATTGTAAATACACTTTTTGTTAGTTAATCGTTGTTCCTCAAAATTATTACTGCCTCACCAGCCATCAATTACTAAATTTTTCTGCCATAATTTTTTTTGCAACACTTAATGTCCTGAAATAATATTATTTATGAAAATCTAAGGTATATTTTCTTTTAATTCGACGATCATTGATTACGGAACTGAAAATAAAAACAAAACAAAACAAAACAAAACAAAAAACCAAATCGTGTATTCATATTAATAATACATCTTCGTAGGCAGGGAACGTAGTGGAATTATTATTTTCGTTGGCAATAAGGAATATTTATTATCGTTTTTAATTTGTTAGAAATGGCTTACAAATTCATTCGATCGCCTGCCCCAATCGGCGTATGTCAATATTGTTCCAATTAACAAACGATGCATGCTTTGGGAACTTGGTGGATCAATCGATAATTATAAGGAAAAAGCCTCAGGAAATATGGTGGTCTCCCGTCGTTGCGATCGCGGCAATTTTCCACGTCAAACGCGCACGATCAAAGTACTTAACCATATAACAAAAATTGTCCGGGTTTTTTTTAAATACGAGTGGCGAATAAACGTAAAGTTAACTAGTGGTCAGGTGCTTAGAATTTTCACGTGGAGCGCGCTACATGTATGGACCGTGTAAAAGCTGAATGTAACATGTTACAAGTACAGAAAGCATAAAATGTAGCCAAGATGTAACCGGTTGTAGGGTGCGTCTACTTATTCATAATCGCGATCGCACTAATGCCGTGTCTAGACCCACGCTTTAACCCGATTTATTTTTAACTCCCGGCGTTGAATAGCATTAATACGACTGCAGTTAACGATAAGTTGGGGGAAACGAATGTAATGAGCGCCGAATATTTATTTCCATGCTCACGGAAAGGGCAACAAATTTATTTACTCGCCCCGGACGTTTTTCATACGTCCCAGCCGAATTTGGACTTTTTGTAATAGAAACGCCAAGACGTTTCGGCCTTAGTAGTAGTAGTAGTGGTAGTGGTAGTGGTAGTGGTAGTGGTAGTGGGTAGTAGTAGTAGTAGTAGTAGTAGTAGTAGTAGTAGTAGTAGTAGTAGTAGTAGTAGTAGTAGTAGTAGTAGTAGTAGTAGTAGTAGTAGTAGTAGTAGTAGTAGTAGTAGTAGTAGTAGTAGTAGTAGTAGTAGTAGTAGTAGTAGTAGTAGTAGTAGTAGTAGTAGTAGTAGTAGTAGTAGTAGTAGTAGTAGTAGTAGTAGTAGTAGTAGTAGTAGTAGTAGTAGTAGTAGTAGTAGTAGTAGTAGTAGTAGTAGTAGTAGTAGTAATAATAATAGTAGTAGTTGGAAATTTGATAAAACGCTAATAAGAGAGCCTATGGGTTTTTTTTTCTCGCCTTTTTGAAGAAATAATTTCATAATGTTTTTCAATGGTGATGTGGCCGAAAGTTTTTGCTAATAATTAGCGAATTCCATCGGGTGAGGCTAGCCAAACCTCTCGATGACTCATTATTACAGTTTGCTTGTGAGTTTTATAAATGCCGCGATCGAGCTCCTGTTTCAATTATATTCTCGCGCAGCTCATCCACAAATCCACAAATATACATAATTGATTGCTAATATTGTCCATATCGTATATAAAAAATTTCCTAATCAATTCGATGCTACAGATTCTATTTGCCGTATTTACATAAACGCATTTATAGACTTTCAATTTACACTTTTGAATAACTGCGTAAAGTTTTATGAGCAAAAAGATATAAACGATTTATAGTAGGAATATTTATCGTCTCAAGTTTAACGAAGATGAAAATTTAACGAAATCGATAAGATTTCTCCTTTTATCGAGCAGAGGTTAATGGCTTTTTCAAACAAATAGTCTTCTTCGTCATATGCTTGAAGTGTTCGATGGTAGAGAGTAGAGTGAAAGTTAAAAGTAATTGAACGTAAGGCCAATAGAATTTATTATAAATCTGTGGTATTATAAATAAATTGAGCCCAGTGACAGTGTTGTAGGTTTGACGAGTAAATAAATGCGTGCGTGCGTGCGTGCGTGCGTGTACTTACCGTGTATTTACAGTCGAGCAGACATGCCGATTCTCCAATTCTCTTCAATTTTTATTATGATCTAATTTTAAGCATTTCAGCCGAAGGTCAGAGTGACCACTAAGTTTATATTATATCAAAACACATTCCCCAATAATACAAACAATATCGTATATTTTTATCTCCCTTTGCATATTGTTGTACAATGATTCATAAAACAACAGCAGTAAGAGCGGCAATAAGGAAGGATATGATGAACTTTATAAAATGTACATACACATAAATACGAATAAGTCAAACGAGATACATTTACGGCTTGTCTCGACAATATTTCATCAGATTTGCCTTTATACGACGACCTTAAAAACGAAGTAAACATACGGTTGGAACACGGTAGTCGATTAGGATAATCAGACTCGTCTATTCAAGCTCCGACGAAATGTTTATTGACCCTCCGAGGTAGTGAGAGAGACGCGCGTGCTTCGTCTTTGCGCCAGTGTGTTCGTACGTGAGAGGCATAGATGGACACGGACAGACGGCAGACAGACAGACAGACAGACAGACAGACAGACAGACAGACAGACAGACAGACAGACAGACAGACAGACAGACAGACAGACAGACAGACAGACAGACAGACAGACAAATAGATAGATAGAGAGACAGAGAGGTAGCACTAATTTAGCATCACTTTGCACCTCGTTGCGAAGAAATATCACCAAAAATCTAAACAGAGTAGCCTTGCGAGTTTATACCAATGTTTTCTCCATCTTTTATCGAAGCGAGTTAATTTCTCATTCAAATTGAAAAAACTTCCCCGGCTGGTTTGCCATTCTCACAAAATAATTTCCACGTCAATTAAGTGCCGACTACTTTTTTTCCTTACATTGACTGACAATCGTTCAGTGCTTCCATAATGCTTCCATATTAGTTCATTTCCACCCTATGTCCAGCTTAAAAAAAAAATTTACTCGACTAAATTATAGAGGCACGACAATTTTAACGATTGTTGACACATTTCTTAAATCTATTCCTTTAGATCTTTCATAACCGACATTCATAATTCTATTTTATAAATCAATCGTCTAATATATTTTATATCAAATATCTTTGTTCTGCAATAATGAATATGAAATGACAAGTGGCATTTCAAGCCTAACACGGCGTAAGTTTTTTCTTTCTTTCTATTTTTCGTAACGCTTTAACGATCCGAAAGCAGATCTAACAAGTGAGAATGAGTTAATTAAAAAAAAAAAAAAATAAAAGGACAAGCATGTTTATTCTATAATCTCTAAAAACATTAATACTACATTCGCAATTACTTAAAGAAAAGTTGTAATTTTTTCTAACGTTTTAATTGTCAAACATTATTTTTATCGACACCCAAAAATTTCTCTTAACAATATTTATGAAAATTCATGAGATCCATTATCTTTATTCGTACACATGATACAATTTTTATTTAAGGAGTCATATATGGAATTAATATATAGAATGACTCATGTTTCGCGGCAAAATATTTTTATTTTAACTTATTATTATTGTTACATAAATGTTTAAGTAATTGTATACTTTGAGAAAACAGTACATAAATCTTATAGTTTGAACTTAAGTAAATGTGTTAATTACTAGCGTTGAAAGTCATATTCAGTTGGATACAATAATTTTTTTCAGTTAATTATTTCAAACTCTTTCTCCGTCCTTTTTCATTCCTTCAAAACCATTACGATAAAACATATCGGTTGGAATGATAAGTGAAAGAGAGAGAGAGAGAGAGAGAGAGAGAGAGAGAGAGAGAACGAGAAAAAGGGACGACTCGACAGACAATTTCGAATATTACCGAAAAAAGTCGATTACATTTTTTCTTTTTTTTTTTTTCCTATTTTTTTTTCTTTTTTCTTTGTTTTTTTGTTATGTTTTGTTTTTTGTTTTTTTTCTTCTTTTTTTATAAAGACAAAGAAACTTACCTTGAACTTTGGTTT